AGTGGGACCATCCAGTTTGCAGCTCCGTGGAACCATAAAGGACACACTCAGGGGGCAGACTCAGTGAGCACCAAAGCCTCATTGAAGCAAGTCTTGCCCCAGAGGCATGTCTCCAGCACAGAAGTTCTCCCACTGCAGACACAGCTGATTCTCACAGCCAATTGGCCTGGAGGTCAATTCCTCCCAGTGATAACTACAACAATCAAGACTTAACTACAACAAGACTGTGCACAAAGACCACAAGGTGGTGCACCAAGAGTGTCCTCCTCAGGTAATTGGGGAGGCTAAACCACTGGGCCCTAGAGGACACTCAGCACAGAAAACCACTTTATCAACACAGGGAAGTATAAAAAATGCGGAGACAAAGAAAAAGGACACAAATGACAGAAATGGAGGAAAGCAGACTACTGGATATAGAGTTCAAAACCACACTTTTAAGGTTTTTCAAGAATTTTCTAGAAACTGCCGATAAACTTAATGAGATCTACAAGAAATCTAATGAGACCCTCGATGTTGTGATAAAGGATCAACTAGAAATTAAGCATACACTGACTGAAATAAAGACTATTATACAGACTCCCAGCAGCAGACTAGAGGATTGCAAGAATTAAGTCAACAATTTGAAATATGAAGAAGCAAAAAACACCCAACCAGAAAAGAAAAAAGAAAAAAGAATCCAAAGTTATCAAGATAGTGTAAGGAGCCTCTGGGACAACTTCAAGCATCCCAACATCCGAATTATAGGGTTGCCAGAAGAAGAGAGAGAGCAAGATATTGAAAACCTATTTGAAGAAATAATGACAGAAAACTTCCCCTACCTGGTGAAAGAAATAGACTTACAAGTCCAGGAAGCGCAGAGAACCCCAAACAAAAGGAATCCAAAGAGGACCACACCAAGACACATCATCATTAAAATGCCAAGAGCAAAATACAAAGAGAGAATCTTAAAAGCAGCAAGAGAAAGAAAGGCAGTTACCTACAAGGGAGTACCCATATGATTGTCAGCTGATTTCTCAACAGAAACTTTGCAGGCCAGAAGGGAGTGGCAAGAAATATTCAAAGTGCTGAATGCCAAGAACCTATAACCAAGATTACTTTATCCAGCAAAGCTATCATTCAGAATTGAAGGTCAGATAAAGAGCTTCACAGATAAGAAAAAGCTAAAGGAGTTCATCACCACCAAACCAGTATTATATGAAATGCTGAAAGGTATCCTTTAAGAAGAGGAAGAAGAAGAAAAAGGTAAAGATACAAATTATGAACAACAAATACACATCTATCAACAAGTGAATCTGAAAATCAAGTGTAATCTGATGAACAGAATGAACTGGTGATTATAATAGAATCAGGAGCATAGAAAGGGAATGGACTGGCTATTCTTGGGGGGGGAGGAGGGAGGGGGATGCGGGAAGAGACTGGACAAAAATCGTGCACCTATGGATGAGGACAGTGGGTGGGGAGTGAGGGAGGATGGTGGGATGGGAGCCGGGTGGAGGGGAGTTATGGGGGGAAAAAAGATGAACAAATGTAATAATCTGAGCAATAAAGATTTTATTAATAAAAGAAGAAGATCCGAAACCGGTTTGGCTCAGTGGATAGAGCGTCAGCCTGCGGACTGAGAGGTCCTGGGTTCGATTCCGGTCAAGGGCATGTACCTGGGTTGCGGGCACATCCCCAGTGGGAGATGTGCAGGAGGCAGCTGATGGATGTTTCTCTCCCATCGATGTTTCTAACTCTCTCTATCTCTCTCCCTTCCTCTCTGTGAAAAATCAATAAAATATATTTAAAAAAAAAAGAAGAAAAATCTCTTTTTGCATGTGTGTATGGATATATGTATGTATGCATGTTTTGTATATATGTGTGTATGGGTGTATACATATGCATATATATGCTTGCATGTATGAATTTGCATATATATAGTGTCTATCAGCTCTGTTTCTGTCTCTGATTAATACAGGTGTATATGAAGGCTTATTTATTCTTCTTTTTCTTGTCAGTAATTGTTATGATGCCTCACTTACATGATGCAATTGTACTGAAATGAAACTTGAGCAGCTCCAAACTCCATAATCAATTTCTTTCAGCCTCATAATAATTTCTTTTTGGCCGGGCCAGGCAACTTGACCCCGGGGTGGGAAGGTCATCCTTCCACAGGCGGGGCCAGCATAGCCTACCTGTGAGGTTCATGGGGCACATCACCTAGGTTCTAGGTGAACAATAGTATAAACACAATGCCAAGTGAATCACTTGTCTCTAAAATTACAACTACATCAAGAGGCCACCAAGTGGAAATGTGTGATGCTCTCCGGGATGCATTCAGAGCTTTGTTAGTATGTTAATAGGCTGTTGTCTAAGTAAAGACACATTTGTGTAATGAGATAACACTGCACTTTCTAGAGTGAGTACATAGGAAGACAATTACCGTGAGAACAGATGTCACTGAGAGTGTAAATCTGCTGTGATTTGTTGCTAGTCTGTCCACAATGATATGGAAATAAGCCCCTGCTGAAAAGTAAGATAAGAAGTAGGCATCTGAGTTTAGTGCCATTGCTCTCAGCTTAACATTTGGGTGGGTGCCCACCTTCATTTTCTGTTTAAAGTCACTTTCCCCCTTTATTCCTTTCCCTCATTATAAAACCTTCTTCACAGCACAGACAGAATTTGAACAAAAACATCTTTTGCTGGAAGCCAGTCCGTCCTTGCTGCTTGACACAGTCGCTGCAGGGAAGAAACATCTGCACAGCATATGTTTCAAGGGACCTGGCATATATGGCATACTGTTCTTAATATGTTTGCTCACCTTCTTGGCGCTATGTGTTTTAACGAAGGTCACCTCTCCAAGAAAGGTTGTTTCCCCAGGTAGGGATTTTTCTCTGAAGTTAGGGAGGGAATAAAACCCCTTAACTAAATGCCAGGCAGGTAGTTACTCACTTTAACTACGAACAATCATGCTTAAGCTACATAATCTTTACTCCCTGGAATGGAGATAAGAAATGCCCTAACCTTTGGAATAGAAATTGACAGGATTAAAATCAACTGGTATAAATACAGATGTAACAAGACAATAAAAGAACCAGAACCTGGCTAGAGAACCTGGACAGAACTTGGCTGGAGATCCTGGCTAAGGAACCTGGCTATGATGATCACCTGAACGCTGCCCCCGTGTCATTCCCTCTTCACCAACTCTGTCCCCACTTATGGGAACCCCTGGACCTGCTGGGGCTGGACCCCAACAATCTTTTATCTCATTTCCAAGTTACAATTTTCTTATTATACATCTTGTCATAACCAAGCAGCCTTTAAGTGTACTCTTTAGTCATATTTTTAAACTTTGTACAAATTTGATTATCAGATACTTTAAATAAGGGCAGGGGAAATTATGTTTCCAGAAGAAAAATCATCCAGGCACATAACCTAGCATAACCTTGTAAGAACCAGCTTCCACTGGGAAGGCCTTGGGTAGTTGATGAGATACCAGAACCTCCAAATGATAGTTGATGGCCAAAAGGGACTGCTTTTAAGGTGGAAGCTGTTAGGTTAGGTGGCTCAGGAGGCGGTGCAAGAAATAGAGTCCAGTGAATCAGAAAAGAAAGGAAAGGAAAACGTTTATTTCTGCGTCCCCGGGAGACCCACGTACCCCAAGGACAGGGCACGTTGATTCACGCCAACAGGGAGGGGGGCGCTTTTTTTATACTGCGGTTGGGTGAGGGGCTGGGACATGAGCTGTGGTATTCAGTTGAGGAAGTTTCAGCTGCAGGGGGTCGTGGAGAAGCCAGTATCTGTGTCTGGCACGTTGATCTGTGAGAAATTCCAGGGGAAGTCCATTGTCTCATCACATGTCTGCATGTATCCGATCCTGGGCTCTCTCCGACCTAACAGAAGCAACTTGCATTGTCCATAAAACTCGATTGAGCATGGCAAGATACCTGAGCACAGTTAACAGAGCTATGGAAAAATAAAACCACATCCTTAGAAAACCTCTACTTTCCACGTCCCCATTTTGTAATTCTTGAAATGTTCTACTTTTTCAGAATTGTTTTCTAATTCTCACCTTGTTTTATTTTTGCTTATCTCTGCAATTTCAACTGGCTTCTCTTTACTTCATTCTTACTTGTTTTCTACACAGTCATTCCTCTAATTTGCTTTCCTCTCCTTTCTACTGTGAATTTTATGTATTTCTCTTGCCTCCTCTCCCTGTTCCATTTTTATCTCTTTTTCATATTATTCTTTGAATTTTTTTCTCTGTTCTTAATTCTTCTTCCTCTCTCACTGATCTCTTGTGGCTTTAATCATTGCGGAGTTGCTTTGAAATCACCCAGTGACTGACATTTTCTCCCTGGAAGAGGAGGAATTTGTGACCTTGGGAAACTAATTATAAAGAACCAACACATTCAGTTTTCAGTGCAATCCTTGCCTTTCTTCGGCAGTGTTTTTGCATGGAATTAGGGATGGATTGCTTCCTGCAGCTCACACTGGCAGGGACTCTCAGGCCTGACTCAGCCCTGTGAGTGACCTACCAGGTATATCTGAGCCACTGTATTTACACTGATTTCTACAATTTTAAAATTGCCCTTCTTCACTGGGAAAAACTTACTCAAGTCTGCCTGGAAAACTACGTAGTCCTATTTTATAATGACAGAAGTATTTTTCTCCTTGGCCTCTCCATTGCCCTGCCCACTCCAGTATTTACTGCATTGAAAAAAGAACTCAAGTGGGCTCCTGGGAGAAGGGGAAGGAGCTTTATCTGGTCTCTGTCAAACTGGACCAGAAGTAAGATCTTTACAAAGGGAAAGAAAATAAAACAGATTGGTCCTCAGGACTCTATGATTTTATCATCTTACACTGGGAAATACTTGACTCAGAGATTTCACTTTAGCCTCTTGCAACACCTAAGTATGGACTATACAGCTTTTCCATTTCTGAAATTACTGCTTCTGATAAATTTAGTGGTGAATTCACTTTACCTTTTTCTGTATTTATGGTAAGTGTTGGGGTAACCTCTACGGGCAGCAGTCCTGGGTCATCTTTGTCAAAGGATACTTGTGGTCAAAGCCATACCACATTTGGAAGAGCCCAACACTCTCTGCTTTTGTTGTGCTTTTATCCAAGTTACTTGCTTCCTGGGGACAGACAAATAGAAAAAGACATTGAATACATAATCAACATTAATATATATAGTTTCACTATAAAAATACATGCCTTAGCAAATGAAATATAACTACATTAAAAACACTTTCCAGGTTGAGGCATTTCCATCTAACAGTAAAGTCGCTGACATGCAAATGAGCTCTGAGACCTTGAGTGTGGATAAGGTATCTGGGTGCAAATCCAACATTTACTTTTCTTAATAATTTCTATTTTATTAAACAGCTAAGAAATTCTACTTTTTGATATCAAATAAAAATTATATTTCAGTCATATTGCTGTTGTGGGAATTTTGCAGTTCACTTCTGTCAAATTTGGATGGTATTTATTTATGAGTTACTGAAAGGTCAAGACTAAAGGGATGATACAGCCTAATAATTTTTGAACTAATTTTCTTTTCTTTTTTTCCTTTTTGATATATCACTACCAAATTCTACTTATGATTAATTTGTTATCTTCCAGCTTTGAACTGGATATTCCTACAGGTATCTTGGAATCACTGAATGCTCTTGTCTTATTTCTTTTTTATCCCCCCAAAAGGCCGCAGTGAAAGGCAGGAAGGAAAGGAATTAAGGACAAAAGAGAAAACATTTGATGGGTGTATATGTGAGAATAGAGGATGGAAATATGAGAAAAAGAGAAAAAGGTGAAACACTTTTGAACTTTAGAGATACTAGTAGGTGATAATGAACATGGCAGTGTGGTAAGGAGATTCCGTTTTACTTCTTTTGTGTATTGCATTTTACATAGTAAGAGAATTCCAGGCTTCAATCAGTTATAATTATCTCTGTCATTAAAAGTACTTATATCTTTTTTTTTCTTTTTTTTTTATTGCTTAAAGTATTACAAAGGGTATTACATAGGTGTCCATTTTTTTTCCCACGCCCTTGACAATACCCTGGCCTCCCCTACCCCCCAGTGTCTTATGTCCATTGGTTATGCTTATATGCATGCATGCAAGTCCTTTGGTTGATCTCTTACCCCTCTCCCTTCTGCCCCTCAACCCTCCCCGGCCTTCCCGCTGCAGTTTGATAATCTGTTTGAGGCAGCTCTGCCTCTGTATCTATTATTGTTCAAAAGTTTATAATGTCCTCTATTATCCATGAATGAGTGAGATCATGTGGTATTTTTCCTTCATTGACTGGCTTATTTCACTTAGCATAATGCTCTCCAGTCCCATCCATGCCATAGCAAATGGTAAGAGTTCCTTCTTTTTTACAGCAGCATAGTATTCCATCGTATAGATGTACCACAGTTTGCTAATCCATTCATCTACTGATGGGCACTTAGGCTGTTTCCAGATCTTAGCTATGGTGAATTGTGCTGCTATGAACATATGGATGCATATATCCTTTCTGATTGGTGTTTCTGGTTTCCTGGGATATATTTCTAGAAGTGGGATCACAGGGTCAAATGGGAGTTCCATTTATAGTTTTTTGAGGAAACTCCATACTGTCTTCCATAGTGACTGCACCAGTCTGCATTCCCACCAGCAGTGCACAAGTGTTCCTTTTTCTCCACATCCTCTCCAGCACTTCTCGTTTGTTGATATGTTGATGATACCCGTTCTGACAGGTGTGAGATGGTACCTCATTATTGTTTTGCTTTATATCTCTCCTATGATTAGTGACTTTGAGCATGTTTTCATATGTCTCTTGGCTTTCTGAATGTCCTCTTTTGAAAGGTGTCTACTTAGGTCCTTTGCCCATTTTTTGATTGGATTGTTTATCTTCCTTTTGTTAAGTTGTATGAATTCTCTATAAATTTTGGAGATTAGGCCCTTATCAGATATGACATTGGCAAATATGTTTTCCCACGCAGTGGGTTTTCTTGTTGTTTTGTTGATGGTTTCTTTTGTTGTGCAGAAGCTTTTTATTTTGATGTAGTCCCATTTGTTCATTTTCTCTTTAATTTCAAGTGCCCTAGGAGCTGTATCAGTGAAGAAATTGCTTCGGCATATGTCTGAGATTTTGTTGCCTTTGGATTCCCCTAGTATTTATATGGTTTCCCGTCTTACATTTAAGTCCTTTATCCATTTTGAGTTTATCCTTGTGTATGGTGTAAGTTGGTGCTCTAGTTTCATTTTCTTGCATATGTCTGTCCAATTTTCCCAACACCATTTATTGAAGAGACTATCTTGGATCCATTGTATGTTCTTGCCTCCTTTGTCAAATGTTAATTGAGCATATTGGTTCGGGCTGATTTCTGGGCTCTCTATTTGATTCCATTGATCTATATGCCTGTTCTTGTGCCAGTACCAGGCAGTTTTGAGAACAGTGGCTTTGTAATACAGCTTGATATCTGGTATTGAGATCCCACCTACTTTGTTCTTTCTCAGGATTGCTGAAGCTATTCGGGGTCTTTTTTTATTCCAGATGAATTTTTGGAGAGTTCGTTCTAGATCTGTGAAGTATGCCATTGGTATTTTAATGGGAAGTGCGTTGAATTTATAGATTGCTTTGGGTAGTATGGACATTTTAATGATGTTGATTCTACCAATCCATGAACACGGTATGTTCTTCCATCTGTTTATGTCTTCCTCTATCTCTTTTATCAACATCCTGTAGTTTTCTGAGTAGAGGTCTTTTACCTCTTTAGTTAAGTTTATTCCTAGGTAGCCTAATGTTTTTGGTGCGATGGTAAATGGGATTGTTTTTATAATCTCTCTTTCTGAAAGTTCACTATTGGTGTATAGAAATGCCTCAGATTTCTTGGGGTTAACTTTGTATTCTGCTACATTGCTAAATTCATGTATTAAATCTAGTAGTTTTTTGATGGAGTCTCTAGGGTTTTGTATGTATAATATCATGTCTGCAAATAAGGACAGTTTTACTTCCTCTTTTCCAATTTGGATGCCTTTTATTTCTTCTTCTTGTCTAATTGCAATGGCTAACACTTCCAGTACTATGTTGAACAGGAGTGGTGAGAGCAGGCATCCCTGTCTTGTTCCTGTTCTTAGGGGAAATGGTGTTAGTTTTTGTCCATTGAGTATGATGTTGGCTGTGGGCCTGTCATGTATGGCTTTTATTATGTTGAGGTATGATCCTTCTACTCCCACCTTGCTGAGAGTTTTTATCAAAAATGGGTTTTGGATTTTGTCAAATGCTTTTTCTGCATCAATTGATATGACCTTGTGGTTTTTTTCTTTCAATTTGTTATGATGTATCACGTATATTGATTTGAGGATATTGTACCATCCTTGCATCCCTGGGATAAATCCTACTTGGTCATGGTGTATGATCTCTTGATGTACTGCTGGATCCGATTTGCTAAGATTTTGTTGAGGATTTTGGCATCTATGTTCATGAGGGATATTGGCCTGTAATTCTCTTTCATTGTGTTGTCTTTACCTGTTTTTGGTATTAAGATGATGCTGGCTTCATAGAATGAGCTTGGAAGTGTTCCTTCCTCTTGGATTTTTTGTAGTAATATGAGGAAGATAGGTTTTAGTTCTTCCTTGAATGTTTGGTAAAACTCCCCTTTGAAGCAGTCTGGTCCTGGGCTTTTGTTTGCTGGAAGTTTTTGATTGTTGCTTCAATTTCTTTCATAGTTATTGGCTTATTGAGATTTTTAGATTCTTCCTGATTGAGTTTTGGAATGTTGTATTTTTCTAGGAATTTGTCCATTTCCTCCAGGTTTTCTAGTTTCTTGGAGTAGAGCTGTCCATAGTATTTTTTAAAAATCATTTGTATTTCTGTGGGGTCTGTTGTTATTTCACCTCTATCGTTTCTGATTTTGTTTATTTGGGTCCTCTCTCTTTGCTTATTGGTGAGCCTGGCTAGAGGTTTCTCAATCTTGTTTATCCTTTCAAAGAACCAGCTCTTGGTTTCATTGATTTTCTGTGTTGTTTTTTTGGTCTCTATGTCATTTATTTCTGCTCTAATCTTTATTATCTCCTTCCTCTGCTCACTCTGGGCTTTTCTTGTTGCTCTCTTTCTAACTCTTTGAGTTGTATAGTTAAATGATTTACTACCATTTTTTCCTTTTTTTGAGAAAGGTCTGTATAGCTATAAACTTCCCTCTCAGGACTGCTTTCATTGCGTCCCATAGGTTTTGGATTGTTGTGTTTTCATTGTCATTAGTTTCCAGGATGTTTTTAATTTCTTCTTTGGTCTCATTGGTAACCCAATCAATATTTAATAACATGCTATTTAGGTTCCAAGTGTTTGAGTATTTGGGGTTGTTTTTATTGTAGTTTATTTCTAATATTATGCCATTGTGGTCTGAGAAGATGCTTGGTATGATTTCAATCTTCTTGAATTTGTGGAGACTTTGTTTGTGACCCAATATGTGGTCTATTTTTGAATATGTCATATGAGCACTTGAGTAGAATGTATATTCCGTGGCTTTGGGGTGAAGTGTTCTGAAGATGTCAATTAAGTCCATCTGATCTAGTGAGTCATTTAGGATTGCTGTTTCTTTGCTGATTATTTGTCTAGAGGATTTATCCAGAGATGTCAATGGTGTGTTTAAGTCCCCTACTATGATTGTATTGTTTTTGATATCTCCTTTTATATCTTCCAGGAGTTTTTTTTTTTATGTATTTGGGTGCTCCTGCATTGGGTGCATATATGTTTAACAGGGAAAAGTACTTATATCTTAACATGCACTTTGTTGCTTTATTTGGGCCCACAGTTTCCATCCCCAAATTATTTCATGATTTCACAGTCCAGTCATAATATGAACATTTTTTAAAAAAATGTGACCTATGGAAGACAATGGCAATTCACTGGCAGCTCCAAAGCCCTCCCTAGATGAATCCAAGTTAATTTCCTTTCCTTTCATATTGTTTACTTTCTGCCAATTCTCAGAGAATTCCACTGCTGGTTAGTGATAAGTAGCTGAACACAAAGGTCTGTGCTCTGCTTTCTGATACATGTGGGTCAGCAGATGCTATGGCTCTGTCCCTACATAGAAAACAGGATACAAAAAAGCAAAGTGTGGCTCACTTCTAGTTAGCCATTTGTCCTTGGTC